ATTACTTTTTGTCAAATAATTCTTGCTGTATCATTTTACTCTTAAACTGCTAGAGAAATGTTTACATGAATATCTAATTAAATAAAAATGATAATAACTCTTATAATACAGTATATATATAACGTCCGTTTTCCTGGGATCTAGGACAAAATATAATGGGGCAAGCAACTGGAGACTACGTTATCTTTTCCACCAAACAGTTACTAATTTGAGCCGCGACATGACAAAACCAACATAATGGTTTTGCGACCAGCATGGATCCAGACCAGCCTGTGCATCCGCGCAGTCTGATCAGGATCCATGCTGTTCGCTATCAGTTTCTCTACTTGTAATAGGATTTGTAAGCGAACAGCATGGATCCTGATCAGATTGCGCGGATGCGCAGGATGGTCTGGATCCATGGTGGTCGCAAACCCATTACGTTGGTTTTGTCGTGACACGGCTCGTTTGTCTATTTTGATAGTTCTGAACGTGTATATTTTTGCCCGTTGTAATTAATGTAAATAAGAAAAGTATAAGGCAAATGGCGAATGATTTTTTTTAAAACTCTATCGGAGATCGGCTGTCAATTGGACGCCAACATAAGACAGTTAATCCAGTCAGTAGTTGCTTATCCCCACTATACTTTATGTCCCATATTTGAAAGAACAATAAAATTAATTCAATAAGATGTTCTTAAATCAATAAAGTTTTTCACCCTGAATTTTGATTTAAGTTTCTACGGTATGACCATTATTCACGAAACATACATTTGAAAGAACTCATGGATATATTTGACAGCAGCATTGGTTGTGGTATCTTTTTACAGGTAAATTCCCCTTTGAAGAAAAAAGTAAATGTTTTAATCAATGCAAAAGTTTGCTAGTCTGTTTCCGGTTAAGCCAAGAATCAGTAGATTGTACGAAACAATCTTGGAGCAATTTTCTTTCGTGTATGTTTCTGTAATGCCAGGAACCAGGAGTCAAGTCGTGATTGAAGCGTTGTCATCATTGTCACTGTAGTTTTACTGAAGCTCCTTTTCTGAAAAGAGAAGAAGAAATGATAAATTAGTTAGTCAAAACATTTTGTAACAGTAAAGATAGCATAGATTTTATTCTAACACTTGTTTTTATATTTTCCAAGTAACATTGACGATATATCTTCTGTTTTGACTATGTAGAGAAACCAACACAGGATATCTCGTGTTAAGATTTTGGCACGAGCGGATTGCCAGAGCAAATAAAAATACTTTCTGCTGACTTAGATTACTTAGGTACGTGCAGACATCTGAGTAGAACCACAGACCTTCCATAAGCCAACTGAAATTGATTTTTTTAGAGAAAAACTTATGTGCGAGTAGAACCACGGGCTTTATGTCAGCAAACTTACCTATGAGCTGTTATCCGGATAAAACACGGATCTTCCGTTAGCATATTTAATTGAAAAAATGTAAGCAGGAGCTGTTATCCGGATAAAACACGGACCTTCCGTTAGCATATTTAATTGAATAACTGTATTAAAGCAGGAGCTGATATCCGGATAGAACCACGGACCTTCTGTTAGCATATTTAATTGAATGACTGTATTAAAGCAGGAGCTGATATCCGGATAGAACCACGGACCTTCTGTTAGCATATTTAATTGAATGACTGTATTAAAGCAGGAGCTGATATCCAGATAGAACCACGGACTTTCTGTCAGCCAGATAAAGTTCATGTGAGTGATTTAGATTCGAGTAGACATTCACGTTACTTCATGTAGAACAACCAATGTTTCGTAAATAATATGACAACGCTAAATTTTATCAACAAGTTCTGGATTCCAAAAATCTTAATTTTTGAAATTATTTATGTACAATAGAATTGCAGTATTTCAAATGAATCGTTACGCATTTAATTTGGTAAATCGGCAAACTGTTAATCAGTTTAGTAAATCCACTGCTTAGAAAAAGAATTTTAAACACTAAGTCGGTTAAAATTTATTAGTACGTATTTCAAAATTAAATTGGTCAGGCGCGGCGTAGACAAACCTTTACATAATCCGCTTTTTAATATTTTTGTTTTTCATCTGATGCAGCATCAGACCCGTTATGAAATATAATCAGATTAACATACGTTGATTTAACCTTTTTATTTGCAATTGTCCTTGTCCCAATTAATTATTGTGCATTTTGCGCCAAAACAATTATTTAAAATATTCTTTTAACATGAAAATTACCATTAAAATTGCCTATTTAACTGTGAAGCACCACACTAAATACCGTACTCCGGTATATACCGGACAATTCGATTGAATGCCAAAATCTTGCCTTTTCATGCAAAAGATGAACTTTAAAACGTCTTATTCATCTTATCATATATATTTAAGTATGATAATGAATGAAACATGTAAGAATCGGCGAAAAAAACGATACTGTATTTGTCTATTTTGTGATCACGATTTCTGCAAGCCTCTAGAGGTACTGCTCCAGTCCTGTATTGAGTTAAACCCTTAAAGTCATTTACTATATTTAGAACATCTTTGTTGACATGAATCAATACTGATACTTATTTTGTTTTAGTACTTAAATACAATTATATTGAATACAAAAGTCAGTAAATAACATTTTTCAATATCTTTAAAAAAATAAATTATAAACATGTTAGAAGCACATATTTAAAGCAAGAAATTCAATCATATTCATTATAATAATTTATAGTTTGCAAAGCCGGACTTATTTGTATCATATACTAGATACGTTTGAAATAATGTCCATTAAAGGTGCACTACTTTAAACACAATCGCGCTGTTTACGTGAAATTTTTCGGCTTCCCACAATAGTTAGTTCACTATAAAAATTCAATGCAGGCATATAGGACACGTTCAACACGTCTTAGATACTGCGATCCAGGCTATTGTTGTTGGTTTTTTTTTTGCAAAAAATACGAACACTTTTAATCACTTTCTTTTACGTGCATTTGCCATAAACTATCTTTCTTAAACAACTTATGACCTTTACTTTATTACATTTTTGCAGATGTACTGAACATACTTTGCTTGCGGGACCCGGATAAAGTTGAATAGATTTTCAAGAAATTATCTTAAACGTTCATTCGAGAATTAGCACATTTTGTATACTTTCATGGAGATCATTTCCGATTTTACTCTTTAATCTTTATTTTGAATTTAATTCACCTGCCAATGAACTTACCATGACATGCAAGAAACATGAAGCTACTGTTTCCTAAGAAGTTGTTCAAAGCATATCCCATCATCCCAATAAAATTGATCTATCACCACACAAATTATAATGGCAACCGTCACAAGAGGTTCTGCATCATAAATAATTCAATGCCGCTGAAATGATAATAAACGCAAATTATAGCATTAATGGGGGATTTATGCAAAACATGATCTTACTTTTTTATATTTACATGTAGTTAAAGTCCATGATTGCTCTTATATCGCTCAGTTTTTTTATGATCATAAAGACTCATAATGACAAGAACAGTTAATTTATGTTGTAAATTATGAAAGAAAAGCAGAAAAAAATCTTAAACTGATAAGATTACAAAGTATATTTCTGCATCTGAAATAGTGCACAGATTCAATGGTTGCTTTGCCAGTCACTGGTTGCTAAGTCAAAAGTAAATACTTGCTGTGGAAGTCATAGGTTGCTATGGAAAAACTATGGATGCTATGAAAAGTCAAAAGGTATCTTGTTGTATGCTATTGAGGCTATGCAAAGTCAATGGTTGCCATGAAAGCCACTGGTAACTTTACAAAGGGATAACTATGGAAATTACAGGTTGCAAAAGAAATTCAATGATTGGTATGGAAGTCACTAGTTTGTATTGCAAGTTATATGGAAAAACCTTTGACCTATTACCTAATCCCCCATGGAGCTGCAGCCTTTTTTACGCCAGGGCTATGCTTAAGTAAAATTGGTAGGGGTACACTATATCATGTTTCATACCAAATGTGTAGCATTATCCCTTGTGTTTTTAAAGAAGACATTTATAGTTATTTTCGTTAACAAATAAAACACTGACACACTGACCTTCTTGGGAGGCCAAATTTAGACCCCGGAGCTCTTATAATTCAAACACGCTTGGTTCACAAGTAAAGATTAAGTAGACTTTATCATAAAATTACAAATATGTACCTTAAATATATGACATAACAAAAATATCTTACTTAAACAATAATAAAACACCTTTTCGGAAGTAAGAATTACAGTGTGTTTTTTTTTTCATTATATAACTACTTACCTAAAACGGTACTGTTCCAAATAGAAAATAGACATTAAAATTCCCAATTTCAAATGTTTAAATTCCCAAGATGGCTTTTCAAAATTCCCACAAAGCCAAGAGATGTCTCTTACAACATATTCCCAATAGTTATACCTTGAAAGTTGAAACTGTAAGCTGTCTTTTTTCATGATGACTAATCTATTTTGTAAATGACCAAATGCATAATAGAAATTCCAAATTTTAGTCAAAATAATGCTTTTTTCTAAGTAAATCTGGTACAGGCATCATACAAAAATCCTGAATAATTAAAAAAAACTTTTTTTTTGATTTTCAAATTTTTAAATTTAATTTAACAAAAATAAACAACATCTATATGATTTTTCTAAGTTATAAAAAAGTTTAAAATAGATTCACTTTAATCTACATAAAAAAATTTCTACGCACATTTATAACTATATACATGTATGCGCTGGTCCGACGTAGGTTAAATGTAAAGGTGGTGACTGCCATTTTAAAAAAAAACGTGCCATGTATTGTGAATCTTTTTATAGTCTATGTTTATAAAATGCTTCATTCACATTACAAAAATAATTTTAATTCCAGAATAGATAAAAAAAAACAAATCATGTAAAATATTTAATTAATGTTTATTTATTTATATCAAATATATTATTCATTAAAAGTAAATAAGAGAGTTGTGTTCACTGTGAATAATCTATTTCAGTTCTAACCTATGCATGTGTAATAATATAATTTAAAAAAATACAATATAAAATCACTTACCTGTGAAACATATCCATATCATAATCAACTTTTTGTATCCATTGAGTTCCCTAAAACTTGTTAAAACGTCCATGAATTATCAGGTTTTTTTAATCTTAAATCACTTAATGTATTAATTGTAAACGGGAGTACATGTTTGTCCTGAATGAAAATTGAACTGAAGTTTGAAGAGCCGCCGTTTTCTTTCTATGTGTCCATATTTAAATAGTTTTAATCATTTAAAATAATTGAAGTAATCTCTTCAATATATTTTACAACGTTTGTTCTTTTCTATACTTTGCTTGGTTTTATTGTGTTAAACTCAAAGTACCACTTGCCGTCTGGTTTCAAATGCATTGACCTGCTGTCTACTGTCACATGGAAAGTTTGTGAACTCCGAATATTGTTTCTAAAACGTTCATATTCAGCTTGCGGTGTAATGCCGTACATTTCTACTGAAACTGACTGCGGCAGATTTTCCAGCACGGTAGTTAAGTTATGTAAATTTCCTGCAGACATTTCAATATACTTCAACTCCAAACTTTCAATATTCAACATGTCACGTGACAGTAACAATGAACTTTCATCAAGATTGATATTCCACAACCTAACATTAACTAATGACGGTGTTGATATATTTAATTGTAGCCTCGCAGGTAACGTCTCCAAGTACAACTTTGATAGAGTTGAATGTAGAGACAAATTCAAGTTCCATCTCATACAATCGTGGTCGCCATGTTCTTTACATTCTAAACACACCAATGTTAACTCTTTCATTGATTTTTGACCGGAGATAAAATTGAAAAATGTTTCCAGTATTTTGTGAGATAACATGAAATAGTCAATATATAAGTATTGTAAGTTTTGGCATCGCGCTATGTTTTCACTTAGATTGTCTTCATCATATGTCCATTTACCAGACACCAAAGTTACAACCTGTAAACTTGGAAACAACATGCGGTTTATCCAAGCTTCCTTCTCCCGGTCACCATCATAGAAAAGTTTCTGTATATGACTGAGATCTGTGAGAGAGAACAAATCTACAATTTCACGTAAACTGCTGGAAGTTCTTTTGATGTTTAAATAAAGTGATTTTATGTTGGTTTTATTTTGTTTTAACAAACGTTGTAACTGCTCACTGTGTCAGTGTCCTCGTCAATGAAGAAATCTTGTAAACATAATTGAATATTTTTACTTTCAGGCATTTCTTGTAAACACGACATGAACATTTCCTGTATGCTATACAATGGATTATTGTACATGCTCTCGGCACCTGTCCTAGTTCTATATTCGCGTGTTTTCTCGTCTTCATTTATCACAGACATCAAATCATTTGATATTGCACACATCAGGACAGCATTCATTTTACTTATAAATTCACAAATTTTTGACATGTCCAGAATGTCTTGAACATTTATACATTTTCCTACAACAGTTTGCTGAGGTTCACTGTGAAAACTTACAAATATGGCGGCAAAGAATTCCTGAACGGTCTTGTGGGAAAACGATACTTTACTAAACTTTTTTGTTAGTGATTTAGATGTACTTTCTGACAACATTCCTGAGTGAAGGGCGAATTTAATCTCGTCTGGTATGAGATTCTTTCTAGCAATTGATCCATCAAATACTAGCGTGTTTTCTTTTGTTTCATTGAATAATGTTTTGTAAGCTAACTGTCCTAAATGCATTAGGAGTGGGTAGTATTTCTTACAATTATCATAATTAGCTAAGCATTCTGGGATGTCAATTGAAGAAAGTTCCCACGATTGCTGAAGCTCCCCGTGGACCAGAATCGCACGCGAAAAAAGAAGCTCGACTATATTTATATACAGATCACATTTTGAATTTCCTATTTGAATACCGTCACACCATAAACAAATAGTATATATTAAAAGAAGAGGCACAAAAGCAAGCTCGGCGATTTGTCTCCTATTGATTGTTTGTATGAACTGTCTGACGTCACTGTCTAATAAGTCCTTATTCTTGTGAGATTTCAATCTTTGTAATATCCGTCTTATAAGCATGACGACCGAGTCGTTACTTAATTGTGTAATTTCTACCGTTTTTCCTATTTGGCATGAATTAAGATTCAAAACTCCTAATTTCCATGGTCTCGTAGTGGTCAGTATTGTACACTGTTTTTGGTCATTCCTGTGAGGGATCGATCGGGGCGATCTGTAACATTTCTTTTCGGGGTGAGTCCATTCATCCAGTCCATCAAGTATGATTAAGCATTTCTCAATCTTTAAAATTTTAAGCAGGATATCTTTGGAAAGCGTTTCTTCAAGACCCAAATTTGAAACAATCTTTTCAAATATGAGCTCATCTATAGAGCACAAATCGTCCGAATCTCGCAAAAAGACTAGGAATAAGAAATCAAATTCTTGCATACAGTCTACATCATCCTTTAACAAAAGTTCATTTAAGTCTTCATCCGGGCAATGAGCTTGACACCACACGTTAGCCAAATACTTTGAAAATGCGGTTTTTCCGAGTCCTGCATCAGCAAGTACATATATTTCTCGATTTTCTATAGTTTTAGTTTTGAACAACTCCGATAATGATTTAACTGGTATATTTTCATCATTTCTCGTCGATTTTGAGACTATTGAGCTCAGTTCCGGTCTGATATAGAAAGAAGCCAACGGAGTGTCTTTTTCATCAAAAAGAGGCGACAGGAAAATTTTACTGTGTCTTGTTTTGTAGAATTCAAAGAGGCCATCTTTTACTTCTGAAACATATGATAAAAACACATATATATATAAACTAATGAATTTAAATTAATTAAAAGAACAGATGGTAAATGAAAACGGTATGAATATTTTAAGGTACTTATTTGTTATTAAATACAAATCCTCAATGAATGTAAAGGTGCTAGGGGGGCGTAGACTGTAGTTTGCACTTTTCAGTACCGTCCATGAACAGGCTCAATCAAACCGAGCCTGCAACATTTTCAATTCTGCCGTGTTGGGCTTTCTTGGCCGTTTAATTGCTAAATAATGATAGAATGCAACGGTAACAAATATCTTTCTACTTTCTTTAAGTACTTTCGTTTCTTACATGTATGCAAACTTTGTCACATATGTCGTAACCTTTATTTACACACTTTTCAATAAAACTTCACGGCTAACTTACTGTAACTTTTATACTTTACGAAACACAGGATTTGAATTATATGACTATAAAGTGAATATTAAACAATATTGGCGCTACATGCTAACTAAAACATTTGTGACTATCAGTAATATAATTATTTTTATGTTTTTTTTTTAAGGAATATAAAAAAGTCAAACCATGCTTCATTTCGTTAAAAGAACAAAAATGAAGAACAAACCAGTCACATAAAAACATGTTTAGACTGTTTTGTTAATATTTACATTTCATTCAGTTATATTAATTTTCATATTGTCAAAGTAACTATGTCGTTTATAACCTGTGCATTATTCTTAGATATAATTTACCAGTATTGACTATGTACCCATATCCATTTAAGTGACAGAACTTATAAATTGAATATTTTGTTCTGGTCAATCATTTAAGGGAATTGGGAAAGCCCTTAGCACTGAATCATGCTATTGGTTCAAATGCAATCATTTTGAACAATTTTACACTACCGAATAAATTTATATAAATTCATAAAGATGATTTATTTTATATTACATGATAACAGTGTATTTATTCTCCACGATATTCTACATAAAGAGGACAATCACAGATTAAGTCGCTCACCTGAAAACCATTGCAATGTTTATACAAATTCCAAAATTAGTTTGATTTATAATGAATGGACATACGTAGCAACTTCGATCAAATAGTCACGACGTGTGTTACGGACAATAAAGCCAAACATGAAAATATGTACTTTCTAAATTAAAAAAAAACGTAATAATTTATACACTTATCAAATGACGTACACTTTAAATGGATCAAGTTGGTTTATTCTATAAACACTTTGTTATGAAACACTAAACAACTTTGTTTGTCAAACATTAATCATATGTGCCGGCATCTTTATATACATGTATGTCAAATCAGAGGAGGAAAATAAATCATTGAATTCTCTTTTCATGTCTTCATATCACTGCTGTATGTACACAGCATTGAAATGTAATTTAATGGATAGAAATAGTACTGAGAATGTTTAAGTGTATGGTTTAAAGTTGCATGCCTCCAGATGACCCAAAATATTTCAAGAAAATTAAACTTTGAAAAACCATACTTAAACTTTGAGAAAGGTAAACAAATTAAAATTTTCAAGTGATAATTTATACGATCTCATGTGCAATTAATGACTGTCTTTTGTAGTATTTATCACCATATTTCTACTGCGTTACTAACGCAGTAGGGGATATTTATGCATATTTTGACATCTTTTTGGTAATTTACGTAGATTTTAAGTGCCGATTGTAATGTGTCAAGTACTTTCTTTGTTCATTTTCAAAATTTTCATGAAAATTAGGATGAGTCAGATTCAGATTTTAGGGGCCCTGATCTGTCCCCACGAGTGTCTGTCTATGATAATATCAGTGGTCAATGTCCCGCTCTACGGGATCAGTGTATTTTAGGGCTAACAATAACATTTGGACGAAATGCGACACAATTTATCTACTTAAGAAATATGTGTTCTTACTTTTTCTTTAAATAAAAAAAATAAAAACAACAACCCATTCAAAAAGAGATTTTTTACTTTTTCATTAGAGTGGACTGGAGAAGGACACTGTCGTTTGAAAACAAAATGGTATTGGTCGACAATTGACATGCCTGTCTTTATACATACAGCAATTTCATATACCCGTGCTAATCTCCGTGAAGCATTCCCCCTCTCTGTGTGCATGTCACTATTCCACTAAATTTGAAAGAAAGCACAGAGGGACAATCTGACCGTAAATTACAGACTCCAAATGTCTAACATTTCTTAGTAGCTTCATACACTGATCAAAAGAAACAGAGGAAAGGAAAAATAAATATTTCCTTCACCCCTTCCAAATATTTAGACCAGAGTTACTATTTACTTAGCATTTGTCCGGCATTTTAGATTACAAGTGATAGATAAAATCCATTCTAAAGTCATTATAATCAGTATATTTTTTTTTGTGAATGGCAAAGAAATATGTAAATTCATTTATAAGTTATAAATAATGAATACAGAAAAATACAACTAATTCTTATCAAGACATTATTGGGGGAAAAAAAACGAAAAAAAAAACCAGCAAATTCCTGGTTAATTATTCTCGTTCTAGATGAACTGCAACCGAAATTATTTAATGACTATTTCATATGAAGAGACAACTGTCATTAGTTATATTTAAAGATTATAATTAAAAATAAATATTCCCTCCACCCCCTCAAAATATTGAGACCAGAGTTAAAATTTACTAAGCATTTGTCCGGTATTATAGATTACATGTGATAGATAAAATCAATCAAGTCATTATCAGCAGTATCCAATATTTGTGAATGGAAATGAAATATGTAAATTTATTTAAAAGTTAAGTTATAAATAATAAATACAGAAAAATACAACAAACTCTTACCAAGACATTATTGGAAAAATAGAAAAAAAACCAACAAATTCCTGGTTAATTATTCTCGTCTGGATTCCATCTTGTACTAAATGAACTGCAACTGACATAATTTAATGACTATTTCATATGAAGAGACAACTGTCATTAGATCTATTTAAAGATTATTAACTCATATGGCGCAAAAATAACATTAAAGGGCGCGGAAAAAAGCTTAAGGCTATCGCATTAACGCAACAGTGCAAAGAAGGTAAAAATCGGTCGAATTCCCTCGGACTGGGACTAGAGGTATAATAGACCTTGAATGAGTTATATGTACATACCATTTTCCGTCGGCGGACTTCTTTCATAATTAGTCAGTGCAAAGATAATCACACTTCGCAAATGTTTTATTTTCTCCTATTACTAAATGCCCCGAAAACAAAGGGCTTGTTCTATATATATCTTATGAGACGGAATATCTTTATAGAAAGCAAGTTGAAAAAAATGCAAATTTTTATTCATTTGTTATAATTATGCATTAAACTTAAGAATGTATATAATATTAAATGTCAAAATGAGGAAAAATGAAAATGTTGCAGGGTCGGTTTGTTTTAGCCTGTTTTTGAACGTTAGTGGTGAATGCCGGGCAACATAAATGCCCTTCAGCACATTTTTAGTCTGAGCTCAGCATTTAGAGTAAATTCGTATTTAGAACCATTTTCAAGGTTTTTTTACCGTTTCGCAATGAGTCCATGCATGCAAAGGAAAAATTCATACATATTTTTTTTCAAATATGTATTTTTTTCTGATATAAAACAAAACAAAAATATGTAAACTAGAGACAATATTTTTAATTATATAGATTAATACATTTTAAACTCCAAAGATAATTGAGTAAAAACTTAGTTAATCGTCAGTCTGTTGTTTAAATCACGATTTAATGCAAACTTCGTAGGGAACCAGTAAAGAATATAATATAAGATTCAAGCCGAAATTATTATGCTAGTATACGGGAAATAACATGTATTATACGATTATACTAAATCATTGTGGTCTGTGGACCGAAACTGGTAAAGAAAATAAATCTAAGCTAGTGTTCGCACGGGAAATGAACACCAATCGCTTGCATGAAGCACCAACACTGTCGGCAACAACAAGGTTGTTGGAAGTGGCCTAAACCACTACATTGTTGATAAATATGTCTACATAAATACTTTTAAGGATGATATTCGGCCATTTATATTATAACAAGTAATCGGATAGTTCTATCAGAAATAATTTCACCTTTAATAAAGTACGTAGTTTTCATAACCCGATATTCAGGTAATATATATGATAATTATCAAAAATAGTTTGTAATAATCTAATTTCCACTGTAATTTGTCCTGCATACTTTAATGTCAAGTCAAATAAAGTCCGTGATTGACCCAATAGTACGGTGTTCCATTAAGGCCAGCACGTTTTCTCCAAGAAAGAAAAGCGCGAAACATGACCGTTCTATGGTTACAGTACGACTGTATGGTGGCGAAACACGACAGCACGATGGGGTCCGTCGTACTGTCGTATTGTCATCACCGTACAGTCGTACTGTCACTGTCACCATCGTACTGTCGTACTGTCACTATCGTACAGCCGTACTGTCACCATCGTACTGTTGTACTGTCACCACCATAAATTCGTACTGTCACAATCGTACTGCCGTACTGTCACCATCGTACTGTCACCATCGCACTGCCGTGCTGTCACCATCGTACTGTCGTTATGTCATCATCATACAGTCGTACTGTCACTGTCATTATCGTACTGTCGTACTGTCATCATCGTACTGCCGTATTGTCACCATCGTACAGTCGTACTGTCACCATCGTACTGTTGTACTGTCACGACCATACATTCGTACTGTCACCATCGTACTGCAGTACTGTCACCAACGAACTGTCAACATCGTACTGTCACCATCGTGATGTCGTATTGTCAACACCATACAGTTGTTCTGTCACTGTTACCATCGTACTGTCGTATTGTCACAATCGTACTGTCACCATCGTACTGCCGTGCTGTCACCATTGTATTGTCACCATCGTCTGATGTACTGTCACCACCATGCATTTGTACTCTCACCATCGTACTGCCGTTCTGTCACTATCGTACTGTCGTGCTGTCACCATCGCACTGTCGTATTGTCACCATCACACAGCCGTATTGTCACTGTCACCATCGTACTGTCCAACTGTCACCATTGTACTGCCGAACTGTCACCATCTTACTGTCGTACTGTCACCATTGTACTACCGTACTGTCATCATCGTTTTGTCGTACTGTCACCATCATACTGACGTACTGTCACCATCGTTCTATTGTATTGTCACCACCATACATTCGTACTGTCACCATCGAAATGCCGTACTGTCACCATTGTACTGGCACCATCGTATTGTTTTACTGTCACCATCGTACTCTCTTGCTGTCATCACCTTACATACGTACTGTCACTATCGTACTGCCGTACTGTCACCGACGTACTGTCACCATCGTACTGTCAGTCACCATCGTACTGTTGTACTGTCACCATCGTACAGTCTTACTGTCACCACCATACAGTTGTACTGTCACCATCGTACTATCGTACTGTTACCATCGTACTGTTGTACTGTCAACATCGTTCTGCCAACCACGTTAGAAGAACCACGTCAAAAATAGTGAGAACTTCTAAGCAACAACATTTCAGTTATGTACAATCTATTTACAACAGAATATGCATTTTCCTTTGACACAAAAAATTGTATGATTTACATACATTGAGTCGCAAATGCTGCAAGATACTTGCAACAAGCAGAGGGAGTACACTCAAAGGCATTACATTGGGAAATGCATTTGACAATAACAATCAAACAAAGCAATATGCATACACTGGCGGATATGCCCTATACCTATAATCAAAATATGTATACAGCGCGTCTGCAATCCTTTGATGAATTAATCACAAAGCAGACCCGGGGATGATTACATTGATCAGTGATTTATTTAAGAGAGTACTATATATTGAATATTATCATGTTGGGTGAAAATAACTCCATATTTCATGAAAACGTTAAAATAACATTTTTATCTAATTTTTCCAGCACAAAAAATAATGTTTACAAACACTCTTTCTTGGTACATTAATACATTTGAACAGCACGCAGTAATATATTTATTATATATGTAATACAATTCAATACACAATTTATCACCGCCGTCTATGATGCGAAATATTATTTTAATATGTTATTATGGAATGAATATCTGAAGCTACTTAGCATCAGAGGAAATACCTAAGAAAGTAATCCTTATGAAAAAATATTAATATTGACTCCGCCTTCTTTCATATGTATATTTTTTATATTTCATAGACTGCCGCCTAATGTCGCAATAAACGCTTTAAATATCGCAATTGCAGTTTCAACGCTAAACAAAATAATAAACGCTAAATATGGCAGTGAGTTCTTAAACAGGATTATTAGATCAAATAAAATGTATTGACGGTAGACTTCGGTGTTTCATAAGGGTAAGGGTTCCATAAGGGTTAGGGTGTTTTATCCGAGATAAGTTAGTACAATGTCATAGCACGACAGTATGATGGTGACAATACGACAGTATGATGACGACAGTCCAACGTACTGTCGTGTTGTCATAATCGTACTGCTACCCTCGTACGGTCGACAATGTACTGTCACAATTGTACTGTCCCCATCTTACTGTCCCGACCCACGATCGTACTGTCGTTCTGATGCAATCGTTTTGTCCTTCTGACAACATCGTTGTGTCGTTTTGACACCATTGTACTGTCGTTCTAACACCATCGCACTGTCGCGCTTCACCATCTTTTTGCATTAGTACAAGTTTTTCCTTTTATAAGAGGGCATTGTTAAAGTCAGACCTTATGGCATGATGATTTTTACATCCATGTTAATATTTTATTATGCGCATACTTAACAGGAAGACAACAATACAAAGTTGACAGTACAACAGTAAAATATTGACAATACGACAGTATGATGGCGAAGAACGACAGTAAGATTACCATATAACATGGTGCTTCGCCATTGTACTGTCATACTGTTACTATCGTACTGTCATCATTGTAAATTCATGACTCACGCTTTACGTTCTCAGCTCTTACGGAACACCGTTTCAAATGATGAAACATGTATGCCGATTCCCACAGCAGTGCTTAGTTATTACAGATTCTAAGACGACCCACAATTTTCCCTGTTGAACATAGAAGGACCGAAAGGGTTTGTTATAATGCAATAAACTCACTGTTGAGATTCTCTATTTAGACATGTGACGTAAACATTCAACATATGACGTAATCATTAAAATGTAACGCGCTAATGTAAATTATAGTTATGGAATTTATTGCCTCGTAGCGTAGCGAATGCAACAATAAGTTCTATTTGTCTAAAACATGAACTGTAACTGGCTGACTTATTGGAGTCTTTTATAATACATGTAAATATGATAATACACGTTAAAATATGATTTTTGTTTTCAAAATAGATTATTTTACGCTTTCTTGATATATGATAAGAACATGTGCGGGGATAGTTCGATTGACAAATATACATTTTATTTGGAATTTAAGTACGGTCACAATTCAGTTTGATACCAAACTCCGCGCACCGGTTACGCTACGGCAAGTAGCCACTGTCTTCACATAAATCACGTGATTATCGTCTTATCACATGATTGTGTCAAGGTGGCGGATATGCCAGAGAAATCGTTGAACAATTGTTTTTATTTATAATAAACAGCAACATTATATTTTGAGCTCTAGTGTAGTCAGTCGATATGATTGGGAAAAAAATCAATTTTGTAATGTGCAGAATCGAGATTATTAATTACTTGAATGATTTCTCTTTCAAAAGAGGCTATTGTTTTGGAAATAAATGGTGCGAAATAAAGATTATTTATGTAAAACGAGTATTTATGTATCCGAAATAAGTTTTTGCTTAAGTTCACATCTAACACCTTACGGTCTTGACGCATAAGCAAACTGTGATTACTTTTTAAAAGAAATATCAAAATTGAAAAGAAAATCATATCGTCATAAATCATGACTGACTGAGATCTAATCCTGTTAGGGGAGATCACTGCGTTGGAGATTAATCAAGTAGGTTGATATAGTGTCAGAATCGAAATAATATATTCAAACTTGATAAAATCACTGTTTAGGATATATTATTTCGTAATCATAGTTGTAATGGGTTGGGTTTCAATTTACTTGAACTTGCCTGAGGTGTCGAATCAATTTATGTTGTTTTATTTTAACATAAATCAAGCCAATCGAATAATCGTATAAATATATGTAGTTTGTGTAGTAAAATATAGAAAAATAGATAATATGATGGCCGTGATGTCTTTGAGTTTACTACCAGGAAATTATTATCGACTAAATAATTTATTGTTCACACTCAGAAAACATGTTAAGTTAGGAAGCAATTATCAACAGAGGAAAATATTGTAGAAGCCTACTTTAAATCATTTCTGTAAAAGATGATATTTATCGATAATTTTGGTTGTATAAAGACATAATTATATTAACGACGAATGATAGACAACTAACAACCGACATGCATGCAGACACAAAAGCTCACTTATGAACAATATTAGCGTAAAACAATTGACTTACCACCTCTGTGTTTTATATACTCTGGACTTAACACTGCGGTTTTCTTAAGTTTACTCTCTATCTCTGTTGTGTCCTGTCCATTTTCTGCGCAAACTATAAGCTCTAATAGTTCAGTCTGCCAGGTCTTTCTCAGACGCTCTTTAAAATCTGTGTAACCTTTAGCACCTTTGGATTTTACTTTTCTCAATATCGTCTCATTCTTATCAGTTGGATCCTTACCCTGTAACATTGTATT